ATGTAGCTCAGGTGGATGATTTGAAATTAGTTGTATTCTCTGAACTGATTGGTTTAATTGCGAAGCTTTCTTTCTTTCCTTCTGAACAACATCTTCAGCGCGAGTTTTAGCATAAAATGAACTGATTTGAATTCTGATGATATCAGAGAGTTGAAGGCAATCGACTTCAGGAAGCCTTGCCTGACCTAGGTTTCGTACTAGTCGGCATTCACCAGTCAGCAAGGCGTATCTGCAACCTTGAAGGAGCCCATGTCTCTTCTGAGATTCGAACCCGCGTCACTCAGTGCTGCAGTCAGAGACGTTACCACTGAGATATTCGGGCTCGCGATTGACCTCCTGTAGGACTGTATTGGATATTTTGATTGGACACTAGTCAGTAACTAGTGTGAATTCTCCACGAATGATAGAATTGTGTATCCTGACAACCATCTTCGTCACTGGTAGTAGTCGGTTTACATCTGTATTGATCACTTCTTTCATTGAATTGGAATTTGAATTTTCTTGTCACGTGATTTACTTTTTATTAGTTGGTAAATTTGGTACTAGTCACACTAACAAGAAGCCATCATCAAAGACTACAAGAAAATTCATTTTACCCCATATATAAAAAATATCTCTGAAATAACAGCTAGAATATTAAGATCTTTTGAAATAGATATAGCGCACAAGCCGGCCAGTCCAATTACTTAATTCGACATTGTGCAAACTGAAAGATTCAACAGAAAAAGAAGATAAAATTAATACCATTTACAAAATAAATTGTATGAACTGTAACAGACGTTACACATCGGTCAAAATAGGCGTCCTCTTTAAATCAGAATCCAAGAACACAAATTAGCTGTAAAAAGACGCGATACATATTCTTTCATAGCAATGCATGTAGATAATTATGGACATCATTTTGGTTGGGATAATGTCGAAATTTTAAACGGAGGAAACACCAAAAGTGCCAGAGAATTCCTAGAAGCTTGGTGCTCAAGTGAATCGGTGAGTAACAAACATGTTAACATAGACTAAATTTACTAACTAATAAAAAGTAAATCACGTGACAAGAAAATTCCAAGTTAATAAAAAAATAAAAAATACTGATGTAAATCGACTATCAATCACAAAGATGGTTGCCAGGAGATACAATTCTATCATTCATGGAGAATTCAAATCAGTTCATTTTATGCTAAAACTTGCGCTGAAGATGTTGTCCAAAAGGACAACGAAAGCTTCGCAATTAAACCAACCAGTTCAGAGAACACAACTAATTCTAAAACTATTCATACTTTATTAATGGTTTCTAAAAAAGCTGACTTACATTAAAATAAGAATAGGCAATGATACAATAAGTCTACATTTTATCATTGTTATTATTATTATTTTTATTCACGTAGGAATTCTGGAAAGCATTCACTGATGTCTAAAAACTAGGTCTTCGTGCAAAACCTAACGAATATTATCCACAATTCAGTTCACTCATTTCGGAAGTTGCATTAGCCTTAATCCACTGATTGCTGATGAAATCTCAGTACAGATACAAAAGGCTCGCGTGCATCTGCCAACTTTTATATCGTCTCTGATATCCGGTTATCGATCAAAAGACATGTGTACTGAGCACCAGTTCGCTCTGTCCTCCTTTACGGCTGTGACATGGATATTGAGAGTAGAAGGCATGAAAAGGGTTAGCGGTATCTGGCCACAGATGTTTGCTTTCTATTCCTCATGTTTAGTGGTAGAATACTGTGAGAGATATATAGACGTTAGGAGGCGTGGTGTTTTAAGTAAGGAGGAAAAATGATTCAATAATGTTATGAAGCTACATGGATCGAGGTGACTAAGACACATGTTGCGCACACGAAACCACTGCCTACCTTGACAAGCAGTGTTAGGTGACGTAAGTTTACGTTGGAAAACAGTTATGAGTGGTCAAACCATAAGCTGACATCAATCCATGAAGTTTCTGACAGTTGGTTTGAGTGGCTCAAACATAAGGAGATGTAGACTGTCTGGTTAAGGTTCTTGGGATGCTGAAGACCAATGGCTGCAGACTGTTGTTAATGTAGCTCAAAATCAGTATCAGTGCCTCAGATACATTCGCTCTTTGTGGTCTCCTATATCCATTAAATCATCATGTCTCAATTCCCCCTCCAGCACATGTCTACTCACTGCAGTTCTTATTCTTCCTTCTCTTTTCTTTACCTTTATGTATTATATGCAGTATGGCGACTTGAACTGCTGCACTTCTGCGAAACATTCTACACTGAAACTCAGTCAGTCAGACAATTCAATTTACTAAGTAATAACTCAGTCAAACACTTACTAAAATTAGCTTGCGTACCAAGTAAAGCTTTAATATATGTGTAAAACTTGGGCACTGTGGCAGAAAGTAATTGCATATTAGTTTGTTTATTAGATATATCATACACAGTGTGAAACAGTATTATTTTTCTGGATGACGTTTCGAGCAGAAGTTATTGTCACATAATCATATCAATTATAATCACACGACTTCGAAACTTGAGTTTGTAGTTTTCTTTATTCTCTCCCATTTGTCGTAGGGGTGGTAGTAGAATTTCCCAGATTTTTGGGATAGGTGTTGAATCATTCCTACTGCAGACACGTATTTGCATTTGATTCAATAAACAAAGCTTCTGTTACTAATCTCTCCTTCCACCCTATTACATTAGATTTTAAAACTGTCATACTATCCCATCCTATTGTATGGTTGTGTGTAATTGCATGTAGTGCTTGCTATGGCTGAACAATTCTCTAGATTTCTTATCTTATTCGGGTCAACTAATCTAGATTTTACTAGGTTTATATGCTCCACTAGTCTGACTGACGCCGTTCTACTACTTTGACCTATGTATCTGACCTGACAATCATTGCAGGGTATTAGATAAACTAAATTGTTTTGTTTTAAAGGCTCCACAGGATCCTTTAACCGATAGAGCTTATTTCTAATTGAGTTTTTGGGTTGGAATGCCAGCCACTTTTATTCCTGCCTTGTTAAGAATTCTGCGTAAGGTTTCCGAGGTTCCTTCCTTGTATGGAATTACTACTGATGATTTAGATTCCTCAATGGTGTCGTCTTGCGCATATTTGACATGCATCTCGTCATTAATATAACTACTACTATTATTATTATTATTATTTTCACTATCACTACTATCATCATTTATTTTAATTTTACATTTCCTTAAATACTTTGTGACTAATTTATCAGGCTAATTATTAAGTTTCAAAGATTCTTTACATGCCTCCCTTCCTGTTCTAGATTTTCTTTGGTACTACTTAGTTTTTGTGCTCTATTATTTAACCATTTCACCAATCCTATTCCCACTTATATAGGATAGGATGACTGGAATTCTAAATATCTTTTTGAATGTGTGAGTTTCCTGTACATACACTAGTGTTTAACTTCCCATCTTCTTTCCATTTTACGCTACAATCAAACAGTGGAAGCTCCCCTTCCTGACTTTATGTATGTTGTATCAGCCTTCACCACTATTTCCTGTATTCCTCATTTAATATTTTCGTTGTATCTTTTTTCAACAAAACGAAAGTATCTAACGTGTATCATCACCGACTACAACTTTAAGTAAAATAACTATTATATAGCTGAGTGCACCCATTTAAAGACACAGCACTTAATTTGCAATGTGTATTAATTTTACTTTGACTGCTAACTGACGCATAATCCATTCCATTATCTCACAAATAAGTCAATCTGCGTGACATATAAGAGCGAAAAAAATTACTCACATATTTGCATGAAACTATTTACTACTGATTGACTGAGATGAGTAGTTGATTACCACTCACACCAACATCAAGCGTTAGTGCTTGCTAACCAAAAAAAACTGCGGTGAAACTCCACTTCCTCAAAGTGTGTAAAATGCAAGCTAATTTGCTAATTGTGGAAATTTGATTAATGTAGCCTCCAGTTCGCCCAATTAGCTAATCAGAAATCGAGTGGTGTGAACTGATTAGGCTTTCTAAGCTGATGAGCGCTGTCCCAAGCGAGCAAAACAGCTGTCTTGTATTCAGATAACTTCAATCTGACCGGCAACTATTAATGGTTGATGTGAGTGACGCCCAACTACTTATATCAATTAATCAGTAGTGCGTAGTTTTTCGCAAATATGTTTGTTTTCTCGATTGCGATCTGCGGTATCTAGCAGATCATGCACTGTGATCTGAATAATTTCAGTTTCCGAAGAAAACTGTAGTGAAATTTTCTACGCACACACTATGTAAATTGCAAATTGGGGATTTTATCTGTTCATATATTCCACTGAATAAACAGGATACCGTTATAATGGTCAGGAAAATATAAAAATGGAATGAAGGAAAGCAGCGATATATATATACATATATATAGGCTAGATCTAATGAAGATTTTTAGCTCAGATAGGTGATTCTGATACAGTTATGTTCTCTGAACTTGCAATGGCTTATTAGGCAATATCTTCAATGCATACTTCAATTTGAAGTGGGCTTTTAAATTTCTCCATCAAGTTTTTAATCAACTCTCTTGGTGACCTTGGACGTGATTGGATGCCCTTGTCTGTCTTCAGTGGAGATTTTTTTTATCCGATTCGAATTCGGAAGCCATTCTTATACAGGTGGAACCAATGTCGTCGAAAAGAACATATTCCAAAATTGTTATTAAAGCAAAGGAAATCCCAATGCCATTAATCAGAATAGAGATCCATCGTCATTCATTGCAAAACACTTATTAATGTCAAGTCACAAAATCAATACTAATTACTGCTTCATAATTATTTCATCACTTAACTCTAATTCAAGGTTGGTTATTAAAGGTGATGGAAGCGCTTTGGATTGATTAATCACATACATCCTAAACTATGTGTACAAAAAACAACAAAATAGACTTCAACCTTCGCCTACCACGGACTACTTGACCTATTTAAATATGATTGGTCATTAGCATGTACTTTTGTTTTATATATATAACTGAGTAATTGTCATGCATTTTATTTTATTATTATTGTGAACCGTGTTAGTTGTAAAGCGATTATAGAGAAACTACGAAATGATGTCATCATCTCGAGAAATTTGTCTTCTAAATACCTTATTCAGCCAAGTTAAACTTTAAGCACCAATAACAACCAATGGAGTGCGACGCAAAAATGACCCTGAAACGTTCAGTAAGCAAGTTACTGAAACCTGGCAAATAATTTTGTCACCATCAATAAAATATGCTCATCGAAGTGTTATGCTATTACATGGGATATCTGGCAATTTGGGATTAGGCTAACCTTATAAAGGCGACATTAGGATTGTTTCCAGTTAGTTTAGGGATATTTTCACGTCAGGGTTATGTTCAGAAAAAATCAGGGTTATTATCAGGGTTAAAAGGCCTAAATAATTACATGCACAGCATGTGGTTAAATTACTCTGTTGAAATAAGAATAGAATATGTGCACTGTGGTAGAGCATAATTCCATTGTGGGTGAAATTTATTTTGATAAAGGCTCACAGTGTTATACAGTAATATTTACTGATGGAGTTTCGAGCACAATTTATCGCTGCTCAGTAAATATTACTGTATCACACTATGAGTCTTTATCAAAATAAATTTTACCCACAATGGAATAAACACTGTTGATACTCCAGCCTAAAATTGACACATATTTTTATCACATGTGAGAGAAAGGTATCATCTGTAACACTTTTGTACAGTTTTTATGCATTTAATCATAAATATATGTATTCCATACACAAAAGTGTTTCCTTCATGTGATTGGTGCGTTCGAGGTCATTCGCTAATTGGTAGTTGGTGGTGCTTAAAGTTTAACTTTGTCCCTTATTCAAATTTATGAAAGGAAATAATCGTTTCAATTCTCTTAAACAATAAATACCAATACAAATAGACTAACGGGTGCGAAGACAGACAAGGGCAAGCAATCACGTTTAGGGTCACCACCAAGAGAGATGACTAAACAACTGGTGGAGAAATTTAAAAGTCCACTTCAAATTGAAGTACGCGCTGAAGAAGTTGCCCAGTAGGGCCAATGAAAGCTTCGCAAATAAACCATCTAGCTCAGAGAACACAACTACATCCAAAATATATAAAGGCGAAAAATATATTTACCTGGTCAAAATCAGCACTGCAAACCTGAGTCATTACCACTGAAGGAGAAGAAGTTACCTTTGAATCGATCTTGTCTAGAAAGTCATTTTCGAGGGGAATCTCAGGAGCCAATTTCTAAATTAAAAAAGAGATAAACTACTATTAAGGTTTATTCTATGCATCATGAATATTTATCTGCAAAATACGGACGATAAAATTCTGTGTCGTTTCCAACTGATGGTTTAACTTGAATAATGAACATTAGGCGCTGATCATTTAACAAGCTTTGATTTCACCAGGTACAAAATTATTCAATAATACACATATATGATCCTTAATTTATTATGCATCAGTAATGAGCACATATAGATTTTACAGTGTATAGTTAAACTACGACTTCTACCAATAGAAACAAAGTTAAGTTGAATCACAACGCTGAAATATAACTGAAAAAAAAATAAAATCGAACAAAATTATTACAAGTTGTGTAAAGAGCAACAAATCTTCTAATGGAGTCACAGAAATCAATAACATTACAAGGTACGACCAAACCGATATATGTCATTAACGAACCATGCACTAACTTTCCCTGTGTGTCACTTCCTAAAATCGATTACCCTGTTATGCTTTTTTTCCTTTAAAAATTCCAAAGGTTCATTATTTAATTAAATCTCTCCTGACTGTCCTGTTTAACATTACACCTTCCTGGAGTTCAAACCCTACTTTAATGCTGCAATACTCAGAGCATAGATTGACACTTAGGTGATACGTCATATCTTCCACTTGACTCATGAGGCAGGTTTTTAAGATTCTACTGTGGCAGAACAATTGATCGGAAAGTCTCTCCATAACAATCCACTTACAATATTGTTACTTATTTAGATGTGTTTAACTTAATGTCTGATTAATACCCTTTTTTTCTTGACCTGGTGTGTCACATCTGCCTTTGACTTAATCCTGATTATTGGTCGTTATAGTTGACTCCTATTCTCAATGTTTCACTTTACTATTACGTAATGGTGGACTGTTGAGGATAAACAAGTTGTTTTACGATTGAGATTTTGTTTGAATGAAATCAAGGTTGTGCAACGCGGACTATTTGACCATGGCCTATCAACAAGAGACGTGTTTGGTGTATTTGATTCTTGCCAATAGAGTTTCGATAGCATCTTGTTGAGAATATTCCCTATGATTTTCTCAGGCATTTATCATGTCTTTGTTGTTTGGTCAAATAAGTTTGTTGTACAGTAATTGCTTTGTACCTGAGAAACTTTTGAACTGCACATAGCTGCTTAACAGCATTGTTGAGGTAACTTTGAGTTTTTTGATATATTATTAGTATTTAGCAATACCACAGATTTTACCACACATAACTGTCTTTTTGTTACTGCTGTCTTTGATCATAGGTGTCTGTGTTCTATCTCCCGTGTGAAGCGGTATAATAGGATGAGCAATATCGACATGGTGTACCTTCCGAGTGCTAGGTGAAGAGTGGAAATCAATAGATAAGGCTGTGAAATTACATCAACTGAGATGGTTAGGAAGTGTGTTACGCATGCCTTACTAGTCATCGCCTTCCTCGACGGGCAATGTTAGCTGACTGACATAGAATCAGGTTGGAAAATAGCTAGAGCTGGTCAAACCGAAACATGGCTTCATCAGTCAATGAAATCCACAAAAGTTAGTTTAAGCCAGCCAACCACGTAGGAAGGTGTAGACTTCCTGAGTGGTTTGGGTCCTTAGGACGATAAACACCAATGGCTGGAGACAATTGGTGATAAGGCTAAAAATCGTTCTCAATGGCTGGAGCAGATGCATTCACTCCTTGTAACTTATAATGTCCAATAAAACTATATTGTTCTTCCATATTATTATTCTTTTTGCCTCATATCTCTGTTTATTATCTCTCTTTACTCTCTTCTCTTGCTTTGTGTGTTAAGTGAAGTATGGCAACTCGAACTACTGCACATCGGTGCACAATTCTACGCTCAAACCAGCTAGTCAGTACAGTTGGGACATTTTTGGGACCACGAGTCACTCGCAGAAATCTGGTCAGCTATTGATTCCCTATGTTCAGACCGAAATACTTGGGTTTTGGTACTTACATCTATGTTATTTCAATCAGTCACTTAGCAATATGCATAAAACATAACCATGTAAAATTGACAAACTATAAACTGCCATCTTTCAGGAGAAAAAAAATAATGCGACAAAAAATGATAAAAACATAATTTTACAAATACTGATTTTTCTTTCAGACTAGAACTAGCAGTCATTCAAATAAACTTTGTTTATAATCTTAACATTCACTCACTCGAAATTGAAAATACCACAAACGATGAAAGTTAGTTCACATTAATAGTTACCACTTCAAATTTTATATTTTACACACATCTGAGAATCACCACTAGAGATATCCGCAAGCATTTCACACCTTAAATAACATTATAAGAAATATTTCGTCAAACTTAAGGAAACCTTAGTCTAATTATCAACTTAGATATTATCTGTTAAACGTACAGCCCAAATATACATATGTCGTCATGATCTACTTTGTAGAGCAATAATATTCAGAATATAATGTTCACATTGATTAGAATATACCGTTAGTAAACTCGGCTCTAAATGTAGACTATGATTATTAAGGAACAGAATACTAATACATGCAGTGGAGATTTTACTGCTCGTACTTACGCGTCTTTGCGTTCGCCTATTTGACAATAGGGATTTACATTTCGATGACAAACTTGTCTTTAAGACACCAGACGACTTCCTTTTCCCACCTTTGCTAACTGGACTGGCTAAACTGGATTTTGCACCCACAGATGAGCGGCTTTTCTTATGTCGTGAAGCAGCAGATCTACTGGTGACGCGAGACTTATTCTCAGCGGAAATTGTGGGGTTACTACTTACAGGCATTTGAAGATTCGGATCTACTTCTGATTTGCTGATCGATGAGTCCTTTGGAATAGATGCCTTCGTAACTTCCAGTTTTACGGAAGGTGTTTTGCTAGATGGTATCCCACCAGAACGACGAAGCTGACGAGGAGCGTTTACATCGATTGTATCAGTTCCCGGGATCATAGATACATCTTTAGTGCAAAACGAGCATTGCCTGAAAAAGGGAAAATTGCTTAGACAGAAAAATATTCAACAAAACACATTTTTGGATGTATATACGTATGTTGAAACAGTAAGAGACTCAACTAAATATGAATCGTAAGAAGCGTTTCAATTAATTTTGTACAGTGATCATAGGAATGAAACAGAATGAACACAATTCACTTACCAACTATAAATTTTACTGCGTTTCGGCATACGTAGTAAGGGAGGATCAAGACAAGCTAAATGAAAGGCTTTTCCACAAGCATCGCAACTTGTTATCAAGTGTTGATCCTGAAGTCCATGGCATACCGTACACCTATAAAAGTTACAATGAAAAAGGAGTAAGATACAAGTATGTTCATTTGCTTGTTTTGTGTTTAAAAAAGGAGTAGAGACGTCAAGCATCAGTGGCATGCAGTTCGGGGTTCGATCCCCGGCCGATGCACTGCTTTACCTCAGTAAGCCAGTAATAAGACTGGTAAGGAGGGAAGGTTGGACATGAGGCTAGCAACCTCATTCAGTAAGAATAAACACCATTGCTACCGAAACTTCAAGTCTCTAGCTTGAAGCCCTATATTCCACTGGGAACGTAAGTGAATAAAAAAATAAGAGAGACGTCAAGCCGAGATACCATTCGACAATTAAGTGTTGTGACTTGCGTTAAATATGTCACAAATGAACTCCTAACGCAATTTAGAGCATTTTTGACTAGACACTAGTCAGTAACCAGTGTTGTGTCTAGTCCTGTCTTTGGTACAGACTAAATTAGACCAGTTACGTTTGTGATGTGGTCACCATGCTAGGTGGCTCGCCATCACGGTGCATTGTGAATTATTGGTATTACATGATTGGAGGCAATCGGCAGGAAGCCTTGCCTGACTTAGGTACCGTGCTAGTTGGCATTTGTCAGCAAGGCGTATCTGCAAACTTGAAGAAACTCATGTCCTTTCTGAGATTCAGTCGCGAGCCCGAATAACTCAGTGGTAACGTCTCTAACTGCAGTAATGGGTGACGCGGGTTCGAATCCCACAAGGAACATGAGTTCCTTCAATGCTGCAGATAAGTCTTGCCGATTGGTGAATGCTAACTAGGACGAAACCTAGGTCAGACAAGGCTTCCCACCCATTGTCTCTAACCATCTAATACCAACACTTAAGAATAGCTCAAAAAAGAATGAAAATACTCTGACACATGTGCATGTTGCGTAACCCTGTTATATGAATTACGCTTCTATCTATCATATGTAACTACTCTATGGACCTAAGTGAATAATGGTGAAATAGAAATCAGGCAACAAATCATTTCAACCACCAACGTGAAAAGTGTTAATCAATTACTTTTAAATCTCATCTGATTCACATATGAACTCATAACAGTAACAATGACTACAAAAAAAACTGAATGCTGGTTCATTGCGTCTACACCCAACACATGCAACAGAAATGACTCAATGCAAATACCAGAAATTTGGAAGATATTATTACCGCCGGTCAAATCAGAAGAGAATAATAGATAATCTTAATATTATATTTCAATTCAAGCACATCACAACATTCTAAGAAGTAACTTATTATGACTATAAAAACACTCGTTTTATTTTCCATCTAATTGTAATTGATCAATAACAGTCGTATTATTATTTCTGAGTGTACATTATCTCATACTGAATTTTATTCCAATATCTAATCGATTCCACACATGTATATAAATGAAGGAAAGAAGTTGTGTGAGTAATTTGATATGATTATGAGCAATAGTTTATGCCCGAAACGTCATCAGTTATTATTACTGTACAACACTGTATGATTTATCAAAATAAAATCTTATCCATAATGGAGTTATGCTCTACCACAGTGCCCAAGTTTTATACTTATATCAAGAAAAACATATCTCACGAAACAATACGGCTAAAATGTAGTAACTGACCCACTTAAATTTTAAAAGTTTAAAAATTGAAAAATACAGGCTTTCCTTTTAGAAATATACTTAATGCATAAATGTATTTACAGCATTATTAAGTAAGGTCAGAATCCACTCACACAACATAGTGCAGGTGATAACAATGAAAGTGAAAAGAAGGATGAGCATTCGGTTTTGTTCAAGGATTTAGAAGATGCATACTATGCAGTATGACAAATATAGATCATCACTAAATTTGAAAAAATGTTTAAAAAGAAGTCTGAATGCAGAAATGTCTTAAAGAACCAGATTGCAGGCTACCTGCTCTACGTTTTTTGTAGAAATAAAGCCGAAAACCTAGTCAATAAATTCACTAGACTGTTTGAGATACTGTAAAACAGAGGTTGTATCACGCAGTGACACATGATATGTGACAGATATACAATAGAGGATGTAATTTGCTGTTTACAGAACAGAAAACACTGATATGAAAAATTGGTTAGTAACGGATAGGCACTGGATTAATAAATGCTACCCTGATGTGGCACTTGGCTTTGTATATCAAAAATGACCCAACCAGTTACAATAGTTGGTAAGAATACTTCTGCACATCCTATGGTGCGAGAAAGGTGGCTTGGGTAGCAGTTAGAATAAAAGAATTAACCATCACAGTGTAATTTGTTCAAACTACGTCAGGGGACTGAAAGCGAATAGAACTGTGACAACAGTGGGGTTTTTCTCTAGGATAACCAGCAAGCCAACTACGCTGCCTTCACACGACAGGCAGCGGAGTTTGGAAAAGGTTGACTCCGAAAAAAATTACACACCGAAACGTCACTCCGGCGGTCCGCAGTCAGCGTTACAGTCTTCATGCGGACACAACTTCAAGTACTAATCCAAACAAACACTACGACCTGGCGAAAAATAACTGTCCCCTGGATTCTTCAGTCACACAAAATTAATGTTGTTTTTGTTGTAGGTATTTCTAAGAGATGTTCAGTCACAGTATAACTTTTCTCCACACAAATATCAAAAGCCATTATTCCATAAGCTAACATCCCGTTCAATACTACTTTGAGGTAAGACCCTGAGTTTCTTCTAACTTAAAACCTCCCTTTTTATCATAAGTCGTCGAATAAATGAGTGAGTTAAAATACCTCACGAAATGGCTCTGCAACACGAAAAGCAACCTACAGTGTAACATCTACTTAGAGTAATATCTTGAAGGTAATCCAACCTAAGGAGTGGAAACAAAGGTATAAACAGAAATATAATTTGGTAGTGACTAGAAGTGGCATCTAGAACTCAAGTTTTATTTCCTATTCGACCCACCAGCTGGGTGAATACTGATGTTTCCACTGCGGCCCAAACTCTGTAACCATAGTTTCAAAACTGTGGAACCTTTTTCACCAGGCTGCTGGGTTATAACACCTACTTCATACTTGACAAATATTAGTTTGCTAGGTATTTTTATTGATACATTGTTGATACACAGAAGCGAATAGGCATACGGACTCCTCCATATTATTTATAATAAGGAAGAAAGTATAACCAGGATTCCATCACCAACTACGAAACAAATAACTAAGATCTCATTACAGGCGTAATTAATTCATGCCTACATATATTAACAATAAGGATGATCAAAATATTCCACAAACAACTGTAATTATGGGACTTCTTTTTTCATGCTTTGAAGAGAACTTGGACATAGAAAGTAGGTAAACAATAAAGACATGTAACTTGTGAACTTACTCTAGAATTACACTTTCTGGTTCGAATTTAACTCCTGAACAGTTGTCGAGATGTGAAGCAACAGTATCTTTTGATGCAGTAGTATTCTGATCACTTGTTTCAGATTTTGAAACTTTGCGCACCTTAGACGATGGGGAAAAGGGACGTTTACGCTTGGAAGCAGCAATAACTGCTGAAGAACCAAACTTGACACTTCTGCTGGAATCCAAAGGATCAGAAGAGCTAACATCTAAGGTAGACGTTTCTACTGGACGCGAATGTTCTGATAACACGTTTTCTAGTTCACATGATAACTTCAGCCCCTGTTTGAGTGAGATAAACAGCAAATATGAATTAAAGATGCAATTAAACACAGTAAGAAGTTTACTTGCCAGTTGTTACACCCTGGAAAACCTGATGTATCCAATATCTACAGATGATTAAGGGTCGTGAGAAAGATCCTGTGAGTACTTGATTTACTACAATCGAATGTGTAGTGTTTTCGACAGTTTATTAAAAAATCTAAAGGGTAAAACTGATGAGTGAGTAGGCTACGGGTTTGAGTCCCATTCAACCTACCTCGGACTCGGCAAATAAGTAGTATCATCAGTCCTCAAACGATAAATGTAGCTCTTAGCCTGGCACACGAAAGGACTTCCGTCAAAAAAGTTCAAACAAGACCAACAATATCTTCGAGCTTGTATGACAAAGTATGTCTAGTTACTTGATCTGAATTTAAAACAATTTGCTTTCATAACGTCAGGAAAATTGTTAACACTTCTACCTTAACTTTATACAATGCAGACGATGAGAAAAGTGATATAAAACATCCTGTTGTTCTGTAAGTTCTTTGTGGACTGTCTTGATCAACCTTAAAAGCTTTTAGCAATACGAGTTAACCCAATGATTAGTTATGTTTGCATATTACAAACAAGAGAGATAATTAGCTCTAGTGTGTACAAATAAACGAACAGGTTTGCATTGGGAGATACAGATTCCTCTTTATCTGGGATTCCTTATTGTTTACTAAACAAAAACTACAAAGGGACCTGACTAAAACCATGTTATTTGTTTCTTACTGACGCCTACTTGTCAGAATAATTTTAAATTAATAAAACTTTCAGTACAAAGTCAAATACCTTGACCTACATAAAAACCCATAGACAAAGACCATATTTTATGTGAAAAACCAACAATTTAAACTAACCGGAATTAAATTACGCAGAGTATTGACGATGTGAGAAAACTTTACAAATAGGCCTCCACGTTGAGTGACTAGTTTCTCTAGCTCCGCTGTAATCTTAAATATAAAATGGAATGAATAAATAGATGTCCCGAGGTTATAATACGAAATAACATGAGAAATATGTATGTAATATGTAATACCTGATCGCTAGCTTACCGAGTTGTAACTATGTGACGCGCTAGCATCTGCTATTTGCAGTTCTCGTTGAGTATTTTGTAAAGTCGAAATGTGTTTTGAGATTTCCATAATTTTTCTTTCACGTTCTAAACAAATAAATAAATAAATGTAAGAGATAAACACTTCTGAGAATACGAAAGATAAAGCATAAATGTAAATGTAGAAAGGTAGTTAAATACTTTTATGACTAAATACAGATAAGAACGGAAATCTCACCTAGGAAATAGGATACAAAGTCCGGTGTGAATACTGGATAGCTGGGAGTAGGACCTTTTGATGAGTCCACGTTAGATGCATGATTCGAAAATTCGATGGGCAAGCTGAGAGCCTTTGCCTTGGAGACAAACAATCTCATGGCAACAGGAGAAGTTTCCAAAAACAAAGGTGTTTTTACAAGTGGTACTAAAAATAAAGCGATAAAATTATCAGGATAACGTATAGAAGATAGATTAACAAGTGGTAAACATAACTAGAACCAACAGCAGCAAAATGAAAAATAAATATGAAATAGTACGCCCAAACTTAGTTTACGCTGATGGATAACAGTGAAAACATGCTTAAAAGCGTCTGCAATACGACGTCAGTAAACTCGCTAGTGAAAATAAGTTGTCATGAATTCAACCTGTCTACTTTCTTTCTTCTCATCCGCAGACCACAGTGTAAAATCCGACTGAATAAAATTAATATTTTAAGTTTTCATACGATCTCAGCAAACATTTAGGATATGCCAACATCTCGAAATATTCAGTTAATCAACGTCAAGCATACGTCAGTACTAAACGTGTTTAGTGAATGATAAGCTTAGGCTATAATAATTTGTTGTTGTGTACACCCAACAATAGAGGAAAACGCTGACACTGAGGCTACTTTGAATTATTAATTTTTGAGAAAAGCAGAGGACTTAAAGGCATTCAATTCGCAAAAGTTTCGTTATAATCACGATGTCATAATTCTCATTTATCAATAATAATGGGAATATTAGTAATAATATTAATAAGGCTCAAACTTTACACGTGAACTCCGTGTAGACAATAAACACACTACCGAGGAAAAATAATGACAAACTCGAAAATGGTATGCACGAGACTAGAAGTTAGGTTATCAAAAATCATTTCCTGCAGAATTTAAAATAACTTTTGAATTGTATTTACAATTCATAGAAGGATAATTCAACCAGAAATTTACGTCTTTACATACGGTATTTAATTTGTTAAGATATTTAGCCATATCAAGCAGTAAAAAAATACAAACTATCACGATATTTTTTTATTAAAATTAGACTGTACAGTGACAGAGGCGATGGAAAATCTGTACAGTTCTACGAATATCTTTGGACTATTCAACAGAAGAATAACAATACAAGATTTTCGACTTATACCTCATTGCATCAATTTAAGTCTGCCGAACCAAAACTAAGATCTATGTCAGCATTTCAGTTGCCAAAGCTGTCTTGTTAGCCTGATCATAACCTAACATAAATGACGAAATATACCTATTAATTCGTAAGGAAAAACAGCTTTTGTTTAGAGAAGAAACATTTCTCTTCAACCTCATTTTCAAGCTCATTCGTATTTATATTAAGGAAAAAGGCAATAAAAATTGCTCAGTCAATACATATGTGATAAGAATAAAGATAATTAAAACGATTTACTAAGGGGGTTGAATTGAAGTGGATGAATTACAAAACTTTCAGAGATTATTAAGAATTGGGAGTATGATGATGATAACAGTAAAGATGGCGAAGATGAAGTGAAGCGGAATGAATTCAAGTGGTACAATAGAATAAAATAAAAGAACATTACCATGACAAAGAGAGGAGTTTAACAAAACGTTTCTGATCACATAATTTGGGTTTCTGTTCACGTAGAGCTAGAGCTTTGGTTATGCATAGGTAAGCTTTTGTAAAGGCTGAATTTGGTCCTGTAAATAACTTCTTCGCTGAACAAAAACTTTTTCCCTAATATGACTTAAAATAATACGGTGAACCCTGTGTTATTGAAATCTAGCAACTGCAGGCGTGATGAGATGATGATAAACGTATTTCCAAGTAGAAAAATGGAACAGACACCATTTGTCAATTGAAAGATCAGGATTACATTACAAAGCTTCCCTTAGAAAAAACTAATGTTTTAAAGTGTTACATTAATTTAATTCTATTAAATGGTCAGTAGCAAAGAAAAATACATACCATAGGGTTTGTCACGATGCTTTATGAGATCTGTATACAAATCACGATAGTGCTCGAATTTACGCTGAATACGCATGTCCGTTGTAAACACCTGTCCAACACCAGAGTAACATGGTAGTCTTTTTTCTTCAGAATTATTAACAGGGACCTGTTTGTTTGACCTCCACTTCCTCAACCTAAGCATAGCAGTTAAGAAATTACGTCGACGATGTCTAGCGACTGTTTTATCAGTATGCTGGCGACAGTGTGCAAAAAAGGGATCAGCAGAAGTCTAAAAAATAAGAATAAGTTTACATGGAGTTTAACAATCAGCAGAATTACATCCTACGAAGATCATAAACAAATAAATAGGCAACTGTCAATTATACAATAGTAATTTGACTTCTGACTAGCCTAAAAAGACGTAAACAGTGGTCACATACAGGCCTGGTAAGGGAATCTTAAATAAAACAAAACATTATCAATAACACTTCAAGAAGCGGCATAAAAGAATCTATAACTAAACTACTTGTGTTTGGAAAACGACAAAAGACAAAAAGTCGAAATTAAAAACGGAACTCAAGACCATTCTAATAGGTAGAGCTACAAGCTTTACGAAATTTAGTTATTACTTACCTCATCCACGGTAGGTTCTGACAATAGTCCATGCTTCTGAGCACTGCAAGACAAGTGAGTATAAATTTACCAACCCACCATGTCACATGGAAAAAAGTACGGCATAAACCAGCATCGCAAGATATACAGACACCAGTCCAAGCAAAGAAACGGTCTTCACAGAGAGAACATTCATGCAAAGACCACTGTCTCTGAGGTAATTCTGTGAGTGTTACCTGGAAAATGATTAATTATTTAATTACTTAAACGCACCTCCATTAAGTTATCAGGATCGTTGAAAGCAACACCAGGTGTGTATAATGCGCACAACAAATGCACCCAACGGTTATTATCTGTCCGTTTGAATACACCATCCAGCACAGGACACAATTCACAGATCTTCAGGCAAAAATCAGCTTAAAACAAAAACTAACTGGTGATGTCACACCTGCAAGACATGGTTCACAGAACCAAGCGTCTGTACTGGAAGAACTAGCACCGCTTGATAAAAATATTGAATCTACCACCTTATAGCAATCTAATACGTAAATCACAATGAAATTATCCTCACCCTCATGAACAACAATACCACATCCATCACATTCAATTAACTCATCATTGAGATCTACACTATCGCCCAAACACAGCATACATATCATTATGTCAACGTCTTTCGTCTTCACACCAGTGCTATTTGCGAGAGCATGTCCAGTAGCAGGTTCTAAGTGAACGGTTATCAAAATAAGATAAAAATGCAGTATGAAAGTTTACCGGTGGACATAGATTCTGGTAGGCATTTGATCTCCCCATTTTTCGTAGCATTAGGTGAGTCACTTTTAGATTTGAAATTCAAGCTCTGGCTAGTAATCTGAACTTCAGAATCTTGGGTTGATGATGAATGGACTGAAGATTCTTCAGAGTTCGAAGCTTCGTCATCACTACAAGCTGAATCACTCTCTTCTAGGAAAATTTACTTGCCAAAATAAGCATTGACTAACCATCATCATCATCACCATCCCCATCATCGTCTTCTATCTCTTCGCAAATGTATTCACTGTCACTGTCATCATCTATATCGTCTAACAGAGCTAAATGGTCTGTATTCACTGGCTTTATTTGACGCTTGGAAGGGTCGCGACGGGCTATAAGTTATAAAGTTAATTCAATATATGATAAACTACCAATTGCTTTGAATAAAGTATCGGACGACATTTTAATTATCAAGTAACAGGACCTCTTTACAACAACACAACAGCAACAAAAAGTCAATCCAAATCTAGTAGGGTGTCCTCAAGGTTATTGTGATCTCATCTTCAAATGATCAATTGGAATTGAACTTTCATGAGAAAAAGGCTGAAATTATCCCGCATGCTCAAGGTCATTGATGGAGTGAGACGCTCAAAGGTCATTTTCGTCCATGTTAGTCGGTTATGTTGGATTGCAGTTCCGTAGCCGTTCGTTTACACATTGGTTTTACGTTGTGTTGGCATTTATAGGTGATTCCCATGTACTGATAGCATTCTTTTGTAAAATAGTACTGTTCTTCACACGAAAATAGCCACATTTTGACGTTGTCTTCATTGAATGACACTATGTCGAAAGCTGCAGCTTCTACAAGAAATAAACTATTTGTGTAGATGACATCACCCCCCAACTACCCCATCTTCTTCATTGTAGAGATGTTTTGACGCATTCAGCATGAAACACTAATCATTACAACTAATATGCTAAGTGTGTCGCAGTCAGATTAAATGACGCGGACACCAACATAACTAGCCAGGAAATGAGAATTCCTATCAATCCAGAAAACACATAACAAAATTTTATTAAAAATTATTGACAAAAAGAATTTGCTGAGCGAAATTTCAACCAACATGCCGGATAAGTCCAGCCGAGAAAAATGGTCCTTGGCACATGATAATCCTCTCCTGATTTAAATCGGTCAACTTAAAAGTCTGAAATAACTTGCTTCAGTACAAAATTTCACTGAAATACAATCGTGGATTAGACAAGTCATTTTGGATAGCAGTATCTGTTACTCAAATAACTGAAATGACTAAGTTATTATGCTTCTTCAGCCTTCGCAGAAATATGGTCACTGTTATAAGGGCGATTGGATGGTCTTGTGTATTACAACATTTGTTTCCCTAACTTTGAATCTGTAGTACATTACAGCGCCATATGCAGAATGGTCCCTACTAACTGCTATGTGCTCCTCAATAGAGTGGCATATCGAAGCCTGGATTTTCAGTGTACTGGACTCACATTATAATATCTCAATCAATAAGACAGACCTAAATGTTGTCTCATTTCAAGTGACTTCAGTGTACCGCATGCAGACTGGGAATCACTTTCGTCACCAGGATACATTAATAAGTTTAACTGCAGATTACTCCTGATCATTAAGCGGAATATCCTGATACGGCATAACTCAGATAACATTCGCTTTAGGTAGAACCATAGCATGCGGAAAATATATACAATAAAGTAACTTGTTCTTCTGAAGTTTATAGTCACCTTAATGTGTTATCATTGTGATGATCTAGTCCAGCGTCAATCTCAGTTTTGTGATGTTTTGGGATGTAGAAATCATGAACATCAAGAAACGGGCTTTAATTGTTGGCTAGTCGGTTAACACTACTCTGTACAAGGATGATAAAATGAACAAATTCAAGGTTTCACCTACAGTCGTCATATCCGAATTTATAACATAATGGGACGACGATTCACCACTGATGCTTAGATAGACAAGCTGTGATACTATTCACCGAGGAAACAGTTAGTGGAACTCTTCGTTTTAAGTGAGCTGCAATATATCAGGTTCAAATAATGTGAAACTAGTGATCGGTGTTAAGATTAGATTTGTCGCTGGAGAAATGCATGTGAACCAAAAATAATAAAAGACCCAAGGATTGAGACAAAAGCGTCCTATTGTATATCAACAGAAAAATGTGAAAAGATGATTGTATCATAAATCTTTTGCTTTGTGAGAGTCCGGTAAATACGGCTGGAGATGTGACTGGTTAAGACTTTTCTAATTTACATAAGCAAAATATCTTCTGATTATGGTATTACGGTTCGAGTAAATTTTCGAAAACCTAATTAGAAAATGGAATCAGCATACGCTGAGAAGTTAGCCATCTTAAGATTGCTCCTACAACCTAGACTTGATAGTTTCCCTTAACCCGCTTAATCCCATCCAGGTAATAAAACAATTTCACTGGAGACCACACCCCATACGAGTCAGTGCTCTTCTTTACGCTTAATAAAAATCCCAAGTCTATAGTAGGCTGAAATGATGTCGTAATCCATTCGGTCTTTAGAACCTGATTAACAAACTCGTTTAACGTTTGTCTTCCTGTCACTCTAAACAATATTTTTGTCACACAGTATGCTGAATTTGATAATTTTTTGCAGATTGGGAACGCAGTTTTTGAGATGAGTTTTTCCAGCTTGACCAGCATTATGTGACCATGGAAATTTTATTGAACTCAACAACTTCATGAATCACCTCGATGCGGTGGTGAAATTACACGGCTGCTGTCCTTTTTGACATTAGTTTGTGGGTACAATCTGCAAACTAGTCATCCTATGGACCACATCAAGAAATACAGAAATATAGTCTTCGCATTAACAAAAACACCCAAGTATGTTTCGGATGGATTACAGATATTTTGGAACATTCTAGGTGTCCTTACATGGGTTTCGTTATATGCATGGCTGCGCTGTGGTTTGAGTCCCAGAAACATTTTTCCATATATTCTGTCAAAGATTGTTTATGTGTCATACTTTGAAGACCCAGAGTGTTTGGTGGCTAAGCTCTGAGTGTTGCCACTTGTAATATTTTGCGTGACAGTGTCACTATACCAGCTACTAGTGTGACTTGGCATAGTATGCGAGCAAGTTGTATCTTTATTTTCCGTGGAGCCTATGGCCTTATTTGTGTTTTCAATTTGGCTATTAGCATAGTCGTGATTATTATTTGCCTTAAAGCGTGAGTTATTCTTGGGAGTCTGAATACGTTGGGGATCTTTCATAACAAGTGACGTCTTTCGGCATGTTCTGTCACCAAACTCCGTTTGGGTTATCACGTTTTGGCTAAGAGGAGATGTTGTCGACTTAAAAGAGGGATTGATTTCCATCTAATGGCTGTCCAGAGACATATCTAGATCCACCGCAGAGGGAGGAGAGGTCAGTTTAGGAGCAAGATTATAACTCACAAGTCTTTCGTTTGGTGTCGTTTTCTGTGGAGCTATTTTTGTGAGATCTGAGAGGGGGGAGGCTATGAGTTCTACCGTGTTGGCTGTGTGTTTATCTATTTTAGTGACTTGTAGTGTCTTGCCATTAGGTTTATTGAGGTAATTGTAAGCACGCCTTTCAATCACTGTCTAATCTGCTACAACTTTTATTTGTTTGTAGCTTGTGTCCTGTAATAAGCTACGTTGTGTATTGGTGGATTTCTTAGCCTCTGTTCGTGTTTCAAACTGAATGCTTATAGGACAGTAGTAGTCGTACTGACTCTTCTTCAGTCTGTGACATTTTTTTTGGAGTTAGGCATTTTTGCCGCCCTAAGTGAGATACTATGAACCCCTCATTATCTGGTATATTATAGACTATCACACTTAGTTTAGTATCTAGTCTTTTGATAACCTCAGTTGTGATGAAGTTTGTCGAGGCGTCTACCTTATTTACTGATTTTGTGTCCAGTTCCCCAGGGTTTGTGGTCCTAGTCAGGATGTTCAGAGGTGCAAGTTCACAGACCTGTGATTTTATATCACTAATCTGTGTTGATAGTTCAGATAAGTTGGCCAAAAATTTCTAAGAATCCTGCACTCATAACTTTACTACACCTTATGTCCCGCACGTGACACGTTATAAGGTGTAGTGAAGAGGTCTATTTCACGACCAGGTGATGAGTTTGTAGAAGCGATGCTACTACTAGTTGTCAGCATATTTTTGTTGTCAGTTCCAGCCACAGTAGATGGTAGTGACACAGCAGCTCGACTCTTGCGGAGTATTGACAAGCTGTGCGTCTAACTTCCATATTTCGTGGGAGTTATGTTGCTCGTTGTTGCGAGCATATATGTGCTACCAGTCCTCAGGTTAACAGATTACTGAGTTCGCGGCTTCTTCGTATGATTAGTGAAAGAGTTATTGGTTACAATTATGGAACTACAGAAACACTGGTGCGAGTCTCACAGTAAAAATAGAAACATATGGTGACCAAGCTAAAGTGTAACGCAAACGTTGAACGTACGGCGTTGTATCCCGTGTATAAATGTTTATCATATCTTTCCAATAGTATTAACATATATAACTGTAGTTTGTTGTAACTTATACTTTTAGTGAACTTAAAATATCTGTGTAGGGGGAAAAAGGGTGTAGGATTCAGACGCAGGAGTGCATTGCCATCTTTGAGCAGTCTGGTAACTGAGGATATGAACATTGGAAGTGTGTTTGCATCACGCAAAATAGCTGGTAGCCTATTCCAAATGACTGAAAACTTATTTAAGGAGTTGTGCAGCATGTAAGTCTGACAATGCTCTATAGCAACTAGGTTGTCATGATTTCTAAGATTGTAACTGATGACAAAGGTAGATTTAGTTAATGGCCAGGAGGAGTGAAACAGAGGATTAGTTAGCTTGTAGTAGAAAATAACGTTCAGCTTAATACGTCTATTCCAGAGTCGTTCTAATCCCAGTCTGTCACAACGCTCAGAGTAGTTAAGACTACATTCTAAACCAACAGTTCCTGAGGTAAATTGTCGTTGCACTCCCTCTAATTTAAGCTTTTCTTTCTGTCGCAGTCCGCTAAGAATAAACAGGCAGCATTCTTAAATAGGTCGGACATATACTTTATATAATAAAACTCTAGTTTCACAATAAAAGAAATTGCGAGTTATGCATTTAGGAGCCTTCGTGTTTTATATCTAGCACAATCAGTTTGTTCATAGAACGTTACATTACCAGAGTATCAAAGTAGAGAACAACGACTAGCTCACGTGCTTCACAACTACTAGTGATGTAGTTGAAAAAGTCAAAGTGGCAAGTAACGCAGGACCTGTTTTTGAGAAATCCGTGTTGAGACCTGGCAACAAGAGCTTCCCTAAGTAGATAGTCTGACAACTGATCTTTGACAACTTTCTCCATGATTCGCGAGATAAATGGGATCATATCTATAGGTCTGTAGTTGCGAACGTTTGCCTTATCACC